CCAGGTAGAATTTGTTCTTAACTTTGCGTAGGATAAACCATTTTTCGTCCAAGAAGACGCGATCAACCATGGAGTCAAAGGTGACTTTGCCGGAGGAAACGTTGGTGAACGACAGGGCGTATTTTTTTCGTGCTTCTTTGTTGGTGTCGGTCAGCAATGGTTTCAACGACGAGTGCTTACGCACAAGAACCCCAGCCATAAAAGCATCATGCAGCGTCGACTTCAGAATTTTGAGCGCCTCCGACATGGTACGAATGTCCATTTTCTTTGTTGGGGGAAGTTTTGATACACGATCTAGTAGAGAATTTATGTCGTCTTGCTTGCGCTGACGTGTAGGTTGAGATTTGAACGATTGTTTTGTTTGCCCTCTTGTCCATACGCGCTGAATTATTCGCTTAGTTACATTATAGAGGCTTGCTTGATGCTTTATGTCGCCGTAACGTGGTTTTCCATTCGTACTGTGGTGCAACAGGACAGCATAGATGGCTATCTTCTCGTTCTCAAGGAGGCGGCGAAGCTTCATTCAGTATAGTAAACCAAGTGTTGTGCGCGGGAAATTTCTAATTGTGATTTCTCCTTTGATATGACTCCTACAACTGTCGTTCCACCGCCATTCGATTTGAAATTGTGTTTTCTTGTCGTTTTTGCCAATCCCAACACAGCAGCAATAATTTACGAATTTTAGGACCAATTAGGAAAAATTGCGACAATTAAAACCGGACAGAGGTAGCATCATTTTCGAAATATTTGCACTTTTTCAGGAATATTGTAGAAGTTGTTGCAGGTTGTGGTGACGACTGAACGTTAAATAATCCATTTTCTACCAATCATCGTGGATATGGCACGTCAATTCAAAAACAGCTTGAATTGTAAGTAATAGAGGGAACGACGGAAATCCTTCCACCGTGGTACTCGACCATACTTCTGGAATATTAATATAATGACGTCCAAAATCATCCTCAGGAATTTAAGAATATTTTCGACCAATCGATGACAATAATATCTACGTCCAAGCACATGACATGATACAATTTGATCTTGTTGTCGTCAAACAAAAACTTGACACATACTTGTTGATACTGTTTGCTATTATCGTAATGTGTTTTGGTATTATCCTTAAATGATCAGCTGAGGTGCATGAGATGTCAAAGTAAGGTTGCCTTTTGGCTGAGCGATTTTGGTGACCGCTGTCATTCGCTGTGACCCCTCTCAACTATTACCATATTTACCTAATTCCAGAAATATCGAACATCGCACCAGAGCGAAATTGTTTTCATCTTATCGCACTAAGAAGTTAACTGCGCTCAATCATTAGTTAAATTAAGACGTGCAATCTACCTTCCTCATTATACCTGGGGCATTTTTCCGGTCACTCACAACAACAGAAATATCTGGTGCGTTGTTTTGAACTACAATTTACT